CGGCTCTCACGGCTGGGCCCCAGGGCCGAGGTCTGTCTGGGTCGCGTCTGGACTGACATATCGATATATATATATATAATAAGAAAATGTATAATTTTATTTGGAAGAATAGGGCACAATACTTAAATAGCGGTATATTAGGCAATTGATTTCATCAAGGTGGTTTAAATGCTACTGACTTTGAAGTTTCTAATACTATTTTTAAAATTAAATGGATTCAGAATGATATTAAATCTAATAACAAATTGTGGTATTATATCCCAAATTTAGTTTTTAACGGTTTGGCGGTATTACATGTCTCCTCAATTGTAACTTTGATATTAATAAAATCCCCATTAAGCTGTCTAACTTTCATAGGCAAGCTCTGTTATCCTGAGTGCTGGTGTACAAACAGACAACCAGAATTTATCTCCCCACAAATGTTTGATATGGAATAATAAAGATGTTAAATATAAGAATAAAACACTTTTTTTGAATATTGGTTTAGAAACATTTTATTGGTTGTTTCACTATGATGGTCGCTTACTTTCATATGGAGAATTTCTGGATAAATTCAAATATCTGCAAAGGATAAAATAGCCAATATCTCCCAAAGGATTATGCACTCGTCTTGTGATGCTACACCTTCTGGTCTCCTTCAGTTGTTGCGTGGTGCTAATGCTGTTGATTTGGATGTAACTATTGATTTTAGTTTAAGGTTAGATGGTATAAATATTGTTGATTAAAAATGCAATAATAATTTTCTTAGACATATTTGTCATTCACTTAGGATACCCCCAGCTAAAAGTTTCTGGAATTCACGCTTTCGGGACATTAAGTGCAGGCATTTTTGGTTTCCAGGAGATAATCTTATTGTGTCAATAAGATTCACGAGGTTTCATTTAAAATTATCCATCTTATTTACCCAGTAAATCAGGTTATAAAAAGATTTAAGAATGGTATTGATTTGAAATGTCAGTTTTGTAATTTGAATGATGAGACTATTTGTCACCTTTTTTTTTTTTTGAGGTCTTTTTTAAGGAGATCTCTGGAACTGACATTACTTTGGAGGACAAAAATATTGTATTTTTTATGATAAGCTTTTAGAAAATAAAAATTGTTTTGTTCTTAATTTATTATCTTAGGGAAATATCACATTCATGAATGTCGATGGGCAAAAAATACACCTAGTTTTATAAAATTTAAATTTGAGCTTTGTCAATATCTTAAATCATTGGAGGGTGTAAGGAACAGCAAAGCAAAAAAGACTATAAACTGATGCAAGGCCTTGAAATTCTATCCATTTTAAGAATTTTTGTATTAATTTATTATAAAGCAATAAGCCCCAAGAAGCCGTGGTTTACAGTGAATTTATAACAGCTAAGGGGCATTGTTGTTAGGCACGACGTGAAGCGAACCCCCTTAGCTGTCTTCACAGGGCTTATTGCTTTTATAAAACGGTTATTCCATATACGTAATAAGGTTTCACAAAATAAAACAGAGCAAATAAAGTGTAATGATATTAATAAAAACAGTATTCTTCCACCAAACAATGTAGTTCCTCAGAAACAGTTGTGGTTCCAACAAAGTGGTTGCCGAGCAACACACAGACGTAAACAAAGGTGTATGTTTGTAGAGTAATTTACAACAGCTTCGAACACGGCTCAACCAATCAGAATCAAGGACCGGAACTATCCGTTTTATAAATGAAATCAAAGTTCACCCTATTTACATTATTAACAGTATAGTTCACCCAAAAATAAAAATTTGCTACAAATGTACTCACTTCAGGCCACCCAAGATGTAGATGAGTTTGTTTCTTTTGGAGAAATGTAGCATTACATCACTTGCTCACCAATGTGAATGGGTGCCGTCAGAATGAGAGTCCAAACATCTGATAAAAACATCACAATAATCCACAAGTAACTCCAGTCCATCAGTAAACATCTTGTGAAGCGAAAAGCTGTTTGTAAGAAACAAATCCACAATTATGGCGTTAACTTTAAACCACCACTACCGAGTCCAAAATCCAAAATAATGTTTCCTCCAGTAAAAAAGCCCATTCCCTGTCCACGCTGCATTTATAACTGCATGAGAGGAGAATATATGAGCTGTAAGTTTCCCGCTGACATGTTGCAAGCTTTATTTAACATCACAACTGACAATGTATGGAATACATGGAGTCAGATACACAAATTATTATATTTTGACGTCACTAAAGGGAAAGTCATATAAACGCAGCTTTCTTGTGTTGTCAGGTTACTGATTTGCATGAAAACGGGGAAAACTGGTTATTTTAATAAGCTGATATTCGCGAGTTATCAGCTTACTTGTGTACGTGTAAACATGCTCGGTGTTTGATCCGTGCATATATCTCTCCTGATTCAGATGAGACGACTTTTTCACTGGAGAAAGCAATATTATGGTTAGAGGACTCGTATTTTAGCTGAAAGCAACGGTTTTAAGTTAAAACACCTTAATATGATGGATTTGTTTCTTACAAACACACAGCTTTTCTCTTCATAAGATGTTAACTGATGGACTGGAGTGGTGTGGATTACTTGTGGATTATTGTGATGTTTTTATCAGCTGTTGGGACTCTCATTCTGACGGCACCCATTCACTGCAGAGCATCCATTGGTGATTTCTCCAAATCTGTTCTGATGAAGAAACAAACTCATCTACAGTACATCTTGTATGGCCTGAGGGTGAGTAAAAGACAGATTGTTGTTGTTTTTTGGGGGCAAACTATCTCTTTAAAGAAGTTTGACTGTAAATGAGATTTGAGAGTTTCAGCAAAATAGTAAAATCTGAGAACAGCTCAGATTGAGTTTTTGGAATCCAATGAAGTGAATGCTTTCTTTGCCTGAGCGTGAGTACATGTTCTAATCTACAAAGTACAATAATGCATATTCCGTGTCTTATTGCACAGGATTCATCAGTGCATGTTATTCCAAAGAACAACAAATGCTTGTTTATTGTGTCCTCCAGTGAAAAAGTGTTCTGGTCTGAATCAGGAGAGAAATCTGCGCAGATCAAGCACTGTTTAAACAGCTCTAAACAAATATGTGTCTGGATTTTGATGTGAGAGACAACAGGAGATGCACTTTTTCACTGGAGGAAGTGTTATTATGGATTATAGACCAGAAGCAACGGTTTTAAGTTAAAACACCTTAATGATGGATTTGTTTCTTACAAACACACAGCTTTTCTCTTCATAAGATGTTAACTGATGGACTGGAGTGGTGTGGATTACTTGTGGATTATTGTGATGTTTTTATCAGCTGTTGGGACTCTCATTCTGACGGCACCCATTCACTGCAGAGCATCCATTGGTGATTTCTCCAAATCTGTTCTGATGAAGAAACAAACTCATCTACAGTACATCTTGTATGGCCTGAGGGTGAGTAAAAGACAGATTGTTGTTGTTTTTTGGGGGCAAACTATCTCTTTAAAGAAGTTTGACTGTAAATGAGATTTGAGAGTTTCAGCAAAATAGTAAAATCTGAGAACAGCTCAGATTGAGTTTTTGGAATCCAATGAAGTGAATGCTTTCTTTGCCTGAGCGTGAGTACATGTTCTAATCTACAAAGTACAATAATGCATATTCCGTGTCTTATTGCACAGGATTCATCAGTGCATGTTATTCCAAAGAACAACAAATGCTTGTTTATTGTGTATATAATAATTTTAGCTCCACTTTTGAAACGACTCTCTTTTTCTGTAGGTCCGTGTGTCCGTAAGGATCTGCTGAACTGGATGTTGTCTACGGCATGTCAGCAGGGTCATCTGGAGGTGGTGAAGCTGCTGGTTCACACGTACAATGCTGACGCCGAGGACTGCGCGGTTCATTCAGGAGAGTTTGCCATCATCACTGGCTTGCCCCTGTACGCCGCCGCGCAGGCAGGTACTCGTCATTCACTGCTCATTATTACTGCAAAGAATATCTGTTCAACTATAGGACAATATTGCATGACGTTTGGGAAGGACTAAATATGAATTCACACCAGGAGCAAATATTGGCTTCTGGATCGATTCCTTATTTTATGCTTTTTTTTAATGTCACTTTTGTTGTGAACAACCAAGGGAACACTTTACTGTAAGGTTTCATTTGTTAGCGTTAGTTATCCATATAGGGCCCTGTGATTTCTGCAGTGGGGAAAATGTGAACGGCATTGTTTAGTTTAACTTAAAAAAAGATAAATAATTGACTATTTATAATAACCAAATAATGTGCAGCTCTTTATTTGACCAAAAAAAAAAAATGCAATGTTCTGTTGTGAGGAACAGTTATATTTTAATTTAGTTACGTTTTAAATACATGATTAAATTGATAAAGTTTTATGAATTCACTTGATTAGACATTTGATTTTGATCATTACAAATTGATTTTATTTATTTGCATTATTTATTTAAAAAAACGTTTAGAAGAACTTTTTGAAAAAAAAAGAAGACATTTTTGAATGTGTACAAAGAGAAATATATCTACAGCTTTTAATACAACATCTGCAACTTTTGTCTTAATGTTAATTTCAACATTAATACATTCTTAAAATCAAAAATGATAGCTGTTAACATTTAATTAATGCACTAACATGAACTCAGTTAACAATTTATTTTTATTAACTGACATATTTGTATCATTTATTGTTACTTACAATTTATTTTTATTAACTGATAAAGATTAAAGTTGTAAACAAAGTACTGCTCATTGTTAGTTGATTTTAGCCAATGTTAAGAAATAACTAATGTAAAATCTTACCAAAATGTTCAGTTTTTTTTTAGATAAATGTGTCTGCCGAATGCATGCATGTTTCACGTAAACATAATTATCAATTACCAAAAATGGTTTAGCACTGGGATTCACAAACTTTTCTGTCTGCCAGAATAATTTGACCCGAAATATTTACTTGAAATGACCCTGTTAATATTGCAGTAATTTAACAACATTTTTTGCATGTTTGCAGTTCTCCTATGTTGGTTAATGGTCACTTGACATGAGAGTTATCAATTATATTATATCTATACGTTTATATTATATCTGTTTATATTCTGTTTTAACATTTTTATTATATATTAATATTTTATTATTTTAATATATTTATAAATGTTTTATTTGATTGTTTTTTGTTCTATATTTTTACATTTTATTATATGTTTATATATTAATAGTTGATTATTAATATCTTTTTAGTGTTTTATTTTGATATTATCTATTTTTATTTATTTATTAATTGTTGATTTATGTATTTATTTGTTTGTTTGTTTGTTTATTTATTTATTTTCAACTCACAAACCCCAGTTTGACAAACCTTGGTCTGGTTTTATTGAATTAGTTAAAAATGATGGATGTCATTTGCTTATGGTGCTGTACACTGATTAATGCTCAATGCTCTTTATTTAAATTTTTTTTTTAATTTCTGGAACTGAATGCATTCGTCAAGCTTTTCTCATCCTGAACTGCACACTGGGTCTGAAAAGTGAAAGCAGGGGGATTTTTGACGGTGTTCAGGTTTCCCGCTTTGCTCCAGCACACACATGCACTTCCTCCATGGCACTCAGTTCCTCTTTCAGCACGGAGGTGTGGAGAAATAAGTGAAAGCTTTTCCTGCTCTAACTGAAGCTGGTTTTCTCCTCTCAGGAAATAAGGAGATCGCGTGTTTTCTGCTGAACAATGGAGCCGGTTTCTCCTCGTACACGCTGATGGATCACACAGACTTCAGCAGGCAGATGCTCAGACAGCGCCACCTGCAGGACAAAGACGCGCCTGCGGACGGGACGCTGCTGCAGGTGAGACGCATCCCCGCTCAATTCATTTCAGATCAGCGCTGGACTCGTGAACAATGCTGCGGCTTCATTTTACAGAAGTTTTAGCGTCAGCCCTAGTTCCTCTTTTTAAATGTATTCAGTACAAAACTTAATACCTATTCATCAACACTGACAAATAACATAGTAAATGGAGAATAGTGTGTATTTTAGGAGCTGGTTTGGAGTTCCTGTGGTGTGCATAATTGGTTTTTAAAACTTAAAAACATTAATAAAAGCAGTTACGTTGAACTAAATTCACTCAATTACATTCTGAGCTTATAAACACCAGCATGTGTAAAAAAAAAAAAAATGATACAAGAAGTGTGTGTTTAAATGAAGTGAAGCCACAGGACACTTCACATCCTCCTGGACAGTTCCTCCTTACGAGTTTGGAATTTTTACATTGACTCTTTTCATTTCTTTACAGACACAAAGATTTTTAGCACTAGTACAAGAGTATTTTATTTTTGTGCATAGTTATTAACTTCTTTATTTTGTTTTCTTTTTGTTTTGTTATTTTGTTGGATCCCATTCAGACTTTTAAATAAGAATAAGAATAAGAAAAAAATTATTTGCCCATAAACCCATGATAATTTCATATGGATGTATAACACAATGAATATTATATTATATTATATTATATTATTAGTATGTATGTATATTCATTTGTTTTTCTGTATTTTTTAGTTTTCTTTTATATGATATGATATGATATGATATTATATTATATTATATACTTTTCAAACACTTAAGGACTTGTTTTATAAGATGGACCCAGAAAAACTTTTACAATTTCTTTCAAAAGTAAATTTAAAGAATCTTTTATAGAATTTTATGTACAAAAAATTTTATGTTTTATAATTGTTTTATTTCATTCTTGTATTTTGTATTTTGTACTACTGTATTGTTTTTCTAATGTATAATCTTTGTTTGCGATGAAATAGCCTGTGAAGCTGATGTGGCAATAAACTCAATCATATTATTTACTTTTAAATAATAAAAATAATAGTAATAACGTTTTAGGTACTGAAATTATTATTCTGAATTGCCCAATTATGTATAGATGTATGATACAATGAATGAATTTATGTATGTATATGTTATTCTGTGTTTTGTTAATTTTTTATTAATTATATATTATAGTATTCTGTACAAGTAAGTATGTGTGTGTTATTCTGTATTTTTCATGTTTATTAATTATATATTATATTTTATTTAATAATATTTTTCTTTATTATTGATAAACCGCACAGTCTAGTGTTTAAACATTTTGTGTCCTGTCAGCTTTCACAGTAGTAATATATTATGACCAATATTAACGTGTTTCTTCAGTTGAGGATTGTTTAATCATCACATCTTTACCGTCTGTGGTGCCCTGGGGTCTGATTCATCTGCGCTCGCTCAACCTGTGCCACAATCAGCTGCGAGAGCTGCCCACCCCGACCTCATCGCAGGAGATCATCTGCAGCCGGTCCAGAACTCAACTTCACGTTTATTTGCACAGCGCTTTTCACTAGAACTAGCATTTCAAAGCATTAACATCTATACATGCAAGCAGAAACAATAATGTTGTAAAGCTTCTGCACACAATTCAGACATGGAGAATCCACAATATCAAGAATATCAGTCAGTCAAGTCAGCCATTCATGATCCTCTTGCCTGAAATATTTTCAGCTAGACCAAATTACTTTTTTGAGTGCAATCTTTATTATATGACTAACAAAAATCGTTATCCAATAATAACAATTTGGAAAATGTTTTCTTTAAGTATCAACTTTGTCTCAGATGTTTCTCCTGAACGTTCTGAAAAAATATTTTTTCAGTACACATTATTTAAGTTTAGTATTATTTATAAACTATTATATTATTTATTAATATTTTGATTATACTATTATATTATTTATTAATATTTAGATGTTACTTTTATTTTTATATTTTCAGTTTTCTTTTAGTATCAACTTTGTCTCAGATGTTTCTTCTAAACGTTCTGAAAAAATATTTTTTGAGCACATATTAGTTAGTTTAGTATTATTTATATACTATTATATTATTTATTAATATTTGGATTTTACTATTTATATACAATTATATTATTTATTAATATTTAGATTTTACTTTTATTTTTATATTTTCAGTTTTCTTTTAGTATCAACTTTGTCTCAGATGTTTCTCCTAAACGTTCTGAAAAAATTTTTTTTTCAGTACGTTATTTAAGTTTAGTATTATTTATATACTATTATATTATTTATTAATATTTAGATTTTACTTTTATTTTTATGTTTTCAGTTTTAATTTTAGTGTTTTCTTTTATGCTTTTGTCATTCTCATTCATTTTAGTTTTTGTTTTTATTTATAAAAGAGTTTCTATTTAGCTTTATTATTTTTTATTGCAGTTTTAGTAATTAGTAGTACTTCATATTTAGCAGCATTTTTATGTTTTTAAATGTATTTTATTATTTAATAATAATAATAATTTTACTTTTTTGTTTTGAAGTTTTACATGTCATTTCTTTTTTTAAAGTTTTATTAAAATTAACAATTTTGAATATTTCTATAATGGTTTTTATAATAGTATTGTAACAGTTTAAGTTTTAGTTAATTAAAGTTAAGAACACTGGTTCATGCTGAGATCTCAGACGTTATAATCTGAACAAATCTAAACCCAGTTTGAGACATTGTTGAGATCTGAAGCTGTACAGGAGACGGACAGACGGACAGCATGAATGGCCCGAGCTGGTTTATGCCGGTCTAGTGCTGGTTTAGCTGGCGGACTAGCTTTAGTCGTTAGTTTTTTCAGCAGTGATGTGAGATTACTGAGGAGGTCTGATCTTCAGGAGAAACATCTGAGAAGCAGGACACTTAAACAAGTCGTCATTCAATCTTAATGCTGTCTAGGAGAAGCAATTGAAAAATTAAAGATTTAATTAGTATTTCATGCTGAAGTGGAACCAGAAAACATTTCTTTATCAGGTCATCATGTTATGGTGTTAAATCCAAATGCTTTGCCCCAAAATCAGCGCAGAAAAGATGAAAACCGTCTGCAGATTAGTGATGGTGAATCAGCTCTCCTCTTGCCTGTGTTTTCTGCAGATTATGGCATGTGAATGTCTCTGAGAATGAGCTGGAGTGTCTTCCTCTCGGTCTGCTTCATCTCGGCCAGTTGAAGAGGATTTCTGCAGCCAGAAACAAACTCATCAGCCTCTTCAACATCCCCAACGGTACACACACACACACACACACACACATTTCTGTTATAGACAGCGTTTCCTGTAGTGTGCATCAGCTCCATCGCTCGCTCACAGCAGTTTCACAAAGTTTCTCAATGACAGTGAATCGATTCAGCCCCGCTTTATTACACTGGGATTGTACTTCACATTAAAATGTTGGTTTCCTGCTCATTAACTGAAATTATTTTCCTTTCATCAGGCTTTCAGTTTTAAGAGAAGTGTGGTTTAAGTGTCCAAATAATAGTATAAGTGTATATCTATCATTTTACCATTTAAAACGACCTCAAAACCAAAATGTCTTTCATGTGAAACGTTTTGCTTGAAAAGGGTGCTTTTTCTTTACGATAAATCGCACAAGCTTTTATTTTATTTTATTTGATTAATATTCTTACTTGGTAGTTAAGGTCAGAAACTTGAAAATTTGATATACTTGAGAAATTGATGTATTGAACTCCAAATGAATTGAAAACTTTTTTAAAAATGTATTATTACACATGTAACATGAAACTTAAAAAAAAAACATTTTATTTTAAGGAATACATGGAATATGTGTACTTTTAATTTGCCTTTTTTTTTT